ATGGGGAACCTATTGTCCCATGGATCAGCAAAATGCTATAATTTATTCATTGATTCATTTAATCATTCATTCATTCATTCATTATTCTCTATTTATTCATTTATTTATTCAATTTTAAAAATGTATTTACGTATTTATCTATCTATTTATTTATTTATTTCTATGTTTTTCTGTCCGTGTGCCTTCCAGGATGAAGTCACCGCTGCCTACAGCTTGGGCTTTTCTTTGGATGGGAGAAAACTCTATGCTGGATACGATAAAGTCATACGAATTTTCGACACAGAGTATCCGGTACGATCGTGCAAGACTATCAAAACATTCGGTACGTACTTCTTGCATGATTTTTTTTAAGCCTCTCGGTGGTTGTGTACTCATCTTTGGACGAAGGCTTTGCTCTGTTAGAAAAGTGAGTGTGATACAAAGGCTTTGCTCTGTTTCAAAGTGAGTGTGATACAAAGGCTTTGCTCTGTTTCTGTAAGAAAAGTGAGTGTGATACAAAGGCTGTGCTCTGTTTCTGTTAGAAAAGTGAGTGTGATACAAAGGCTTTGCTCTGTTTCAAAGTGAGTGTGATACGAAGGCTTTGCTCTGTTTCAAAGTGAGTGTGATATGAAGGCTTTGTTCTGTTTCTGTTAGAAAAGTGAGTGTGATACAAAGGCTTTGCTCTGTTTCTGTTAGAAAAGTGAGTGTGATACAAAGGCTTTGTTCTGTTTCTGTAAGAAAAGTGAGTGTGATACAAAGGCTTTGCTCTGTTTCTGTTAGAAAAGTGAGTGTGATACAAAGGCTTTGCTCTGTTTCTGTTAGAAAAGTGAGTGTGATACAAAGGCTTTGTTCTGTTTCTGTTAGAAAAGTGAGTGTGATACAAAGGCTTTGCTCTGTTTCTGTTAGAAAAGTGAGTGTGATACAAAGGCTTTGCTCTGTTTCAAAGTGAGTGTGATACAAAGGCTTTGCTCTGTTTCAAAGTGAGTGTGATACAAAGGCTTTGCTCTGTTTCTGTAAGAAAAGTGAGTGTGATACAAAGGCTTTGTTCTGTTTCTGTTAGAAAAGTGAGTGTGATACAAAGGCTTTGTTCTGTTTCTGTAAGAAAAGTGAGTGTGATACAAAGGCTTTGCTCTGTTTCAAAGTGAGTGTGATACAAAGGCTTTGCTCTGTTTCAAAGTGAGTGTGATACAAAGGCTTTGCTCTGTTTCTGTAAGAAAAGTGAGTGTGATACAAAGGCTTTGCTCTGTTTCTGTAAGAAAAGTGAGTGTGATACAAAGGCTGTGCTCTGTTTCTGTTAGAAAAGTGAGTGTGATACAAAGGCTGTGCTCTGTTTCTGTTAGAAAAGTGAGTGTGATACAAAGGCTTTGCTCTGTTTCTGTTAGAAAAGTGAGTGTGATACAAAGGCTTTGTTCTGTTTCTGTTAGAAAAGTGAGTGTGATACAAAGGCTTTGGTCTGTTTCTGTTAGAAAAGTGAGTGTGATGCAAAGGCTTTTTTCTGTTTCTGTTAGAAAAGTGAGTGTGATACAAAGGCTTTGCTCTGTTTCTGTTAGAAAAGTGAGTGTGATGCAAAGGCTTTGTTCTGTTTCTGTTAGAAAAGTGAGTGTGATGCAAAGGCTTTGTTCTGTTTCAAAGTGAGTGTGATACGAAGGCTTTGTTCTCTTTTCTTGTTTTTCCTTGTTTTTTTAATGATTACCGCATACTTGCCTATAACATGTGTTTGAGTATAATATGGAGATGGGGGTGAATGTATAATATCACTTCAGAATTTGTCCATTTTTGTAGATGGTGCGTAAATTAAGGGGTGAATTAGAAAAGAAAACACTTCAATATCTTCCCCAAAATCAAAGAAGTAAGAGGGAAGCGATTTGAAGATGAGGAAGAAATTGTGCTTGAAATCAATGCAGCACTAAAGCCGAAGCGCACGTGGTCACGACATTGAAGTCCTGGCTATACAAGATACGAAAAGTGCACTGAGATCAATGGTTGTGATGTTGAAGAGAAAACATGTTTCTTTGGGTATAGATACAAAATTGAATGTCTAAAGTTTTGAAAATGTTGATTTTACTGAACAGGGAAACTTACTCTCTGAGACCTCCTACAGATACTGTTGTAAGTTAAGGGTAGTGGTGTAAGGTTTTTCTAAAAATACATTGATCCTCTTTTTCTGCTTCAATTGTTGGCAATGGTTATAGGGTTTGAAATAGTCTGAAAACATTGTTGTTTTGAGTGTGCGCTTGTTCAAGTCTGCGGAGATGGTCATTTCTTTGATGGTCCCTATTTTATCCACCTCTGTTTGGTGGCCGCAGATTCCAAAAGGAAAGAGGGACAGAGCGGGATTATCTCTTGTTTTGCCGTCAGTCCGGACAATAACGGCTTTTTCGTTGCTGGTTCCTACAGCAGACACAGTAAGTTCCTCGTTTCATTGTGTGTTCGTTCTAGACAGTGTGAGCCTGT